AAAAAAAAAAAAAAAAAAAGTCTGAGAATATTGAGTTAGTGGAATATATTTAAATAAACTAATGAATTTCTCTTCCTTCCAGCCCTAACCATTACATAGGTATTTTTAATCAATGAGGATGAGAGCATGTACTGGGAATAGAGAGTAGGGAACAGAATGGGTACTTTTTTTCATATCCATATTTCATGCAGGGCTTGAGCTGAGATACCTGGTATAAACTATGTGAAGTCTTCTACTCACCCCTTGACTAGCTCAACTGCAATGAAGTCATTGCCATCACCACTGTTGAAGAGGATGAAGCCATCAGCTGAGGTGGTCTTGAACTGGAAGAAGAGGTGCATGGAGGTGTATGCCTGGAGGGTGGCCAGGCTCAGGTAGCTGCTCTTGGTCTTGAAGGTGACAGGGTCAGCAATGATGTTCCTCAGTCCAAAACGTGCCTTCAGCTCACAGTAATCAATGTCACCATTTTTGCACAAGTCAATGTAGAGCAGGCCATTGAACATGAGGCTCTGCAAGTGCCCAATGAAACTGGAGGGGACAACGGAGATGTAGCGTTTCTCAGTCATGATTCCAGTTTCGATATTGTGGAATTCCAAGCGGGTATGGTCCCCCACCATTGTACCTATGAACATCACAAAGGAGATACCAACAAGTCACCATGTTTTGTCACGGCATCCTTACTGTATCTTTTAGGTGTCCATGCAAAATATTCACTTCCAGAAAACAAAATACTCAATGTAGTATGGAGCCAATGTTCAGTCAGGAGGCTGACTCTTGACCCAGTCTGAGCTATATGCCCTGCATACCATGCTCTCATGCCGCAGCTCAGAATATTCCATCACATAACAGAAAATACGCAATTGTGGATAATTCCACTGAAAGGGTAAAACCATCCATCTCCATTCAAAAAAAACAATTGGGTATGAAGCATACTATAAGCAGAAAAGTCTCTTGCCCTAAACCTTTTAAAGATACAACAAAAAAAGCATTAGGCATTCAGTACCAAATATTTATTGATGTAATAATTTACCACCTAGTACTTGTAGAAAGATTCTATTGTAGAACATTAATTTTTTTTCTGACCAGCAACTGTTGCTATTTCTAATAAAACAGCTTCCATCTTTATTTTACCTTAAAACCATCTGGACTGGATAAAGCTGGCCCTCACCCAGCTCTTGAAATAATCAGGCTACCCAGACTGGACGACTCCATATATTTTATGCCCCTAACCAAAGAGCATTGTCTATATGGACTAACAAGGTGGTCTTTAAACTTCAGCATACCTCTGGCTCACATTAAGGGCTTCTTAACTCACAGTTCCCTAGGCCCTGCCCTCAGAGTTTATCATTCAAAAGTCTGGGGTGTAGCCTGAGAATATGAATTTCTAACAAGTTCCAAGGTGATGCTTATATAGCTGGTCTAGGAACCATCCTTAGAACCAAGGGATTAGCAGCAACATAAACTGGAGTATTCAGTAATTATTCAGTAATTAACTCGAGTAATATTCACCTCCAGAACTTTTGCTGGAACACCTTTGAGAGAGTCATTCTTGGTAAATAAGGTTTGTTGAAGGAATAAGAAGAAAACCCAGAGCTGCCAGAGGCCTCGTAATAAGGAGAGAGATTGGGCCTGCCTGAGTAGACAGCCAACCCGGAAGATAACCACAACATGGACAGAAAGTTTCTCTAGGGTGATGCCATGTGAAGGTCTGGATTCAGTAGTCACAGCCAGACGTTTAACTATATGGCAATAGATTCCCTTTTGTGCTTCAAGCATTTGAGTTGGGTGTCTGACACTTACAATTAAAAGATCTCCAGCTGATACAAATAAACTTGTAGACCTTTCATTACATGGCTTATCTAGAAGTAGTAAGTGCATAGGGCAGGAGTAATGAAAGGGGTTTGAAATAAATACAAAAGAGAATGGAAATCTTAATAACAAAGTTAAGAAAAACAGCATTAGTATGGCTAGAGTAGATGGTGGCTCCCTCAACATTTATATAGACAAATCATTAAAATTTAACAAACCATGCCCTAATGCCCCAGTGGTGAAGGAAGGGCAGGGAAAATCCCTCCTCCTGCCCTATCTTGTTACCTCCCACACTGAAGAAACTTCACTACAAAGACACTCCTAGCATCTCTTTACTAACTCTGTTACAGCTTTCCAGAGGAAAAGGAGTGACATAATCAGGAAGATTAAAGAAAATCTACCAAGAAACTGTATTTCCATAGTTCACCCTCTGGCACTTCCTGTTTCTCCCTAGGGGAACAAGCTGACTTCGAGAAATACCCAGTGTAGGGGCGCTTGGGTGGCTCAGTCGGTTGAGCGTCTGACTTCAGCTCAGGTCATGATCTCGCAGCTTGTGAGTTCAAGCCCCACATTAGGCTCTGTGCTGATGGCTCAGAGCCTGGAGCCTCTTCATATTCTGTGTCTTTCTCTCTCTCTCTGCCCCTCTCCCGCTCACACTCTGTCTCTGTCTCTCAAAAATAAACAAACATTAAAAAAAAAAGAAATACCCAGTTTACCCCATTTACCCACCACACCATGGACTTTAGGGAAGCAAGCCTTGCTTCCGTGGAGATGCCTACCCAAGCCCTGAATTAGTTAGCATTCAAGTGGGCAATTCTAATTCTGAAATTCAGGGGAGCCTGTGTGGCTCAGTCGGTTAAGCATCTGACTTCAACTCGGGTCATGATCTCATAGTTCAGAAACCCAATACCTGCATCTGGCTCTGTGCTGACAGCTCAGAGCCTGGAGCCTGATTCTGATTCTGTGTCTCCCTCAATCTCTGCCCCTCCCCCACTCACGCTCTGTCTCTCTCTGTCCTCTCTCTCTCTCTCTCTCTCTCAAAAATAAACATTAAAAACAAGTTATCAAAAAAATAATTCTGAAATTCAGTAGAGGTTAACCACATTCTTCAGTACTAGTGTTACCACTGATAAAAATGATATTTGGCTTTAACCAGCCTTGCATTTGTTTTTTTCATTGTTGTTGTTGTTGTTGTTGTTTTTGCTATTCATGTAGAACTCAGACAGCAGAGGAAAAAAAAGGATAGGAGGGGATTATATTTTCTTAGGTCCCTTCAACTTCAGTACCTGGGAGATTCAACTAGATCTCACCTTCAGATATTCAGTATTAATGTCATCTCTTTAGGAGCATACTCGGATCTGATGCAAAGAGTTGTTTATAAGCACAAAAGTCAGATTTACATTTTATGAGCTTCTATGTGGTGTTTTGACAACTAGTGACAATTCATTCTCTTAATAGAAGCAAAAATAAAATAATGGGTGTTGATTAACCTAAATATAAAATTATAATACAACAAAAATAAAAATGTAACATAAATCTGCTAATAATTGAAAAAGTAGGAGAATTAGTGTATAAAATTACTTGGTATTGAAAGTTGGACTAATCACGAAAATGAAAACTAGCATAGCCTAAGGAGGAGGAGAAGGAGAAGGAGAAGGAGGAGGAGAAGGAGAAGGAGGAGGAGGAAAAGGAGGAGGAGGAGGAGAAGGAAAATAAGGATAAGGAAAGGAGGAGGAGGATGTGAAGGGGAGGAGGAGGAGGATGGAAGGGGGAGGGGAAGAAGATCAGCTCTGATAATTAAGAAGTGATAATGGGATGATCCTTGGTGAAGACTGGGATTCCAAAAGAAACCCAAAGAGACAATTTTTAAAGTCAACAGGGAGCTTTTATAGAAATTATAGATAAACTGGCCTCCAGAACTGAGGTGTTAGGAAATTCTGCTCACTAGAAAATGAATTTCATAAAGCAAGAAAATTATGTACAGTGTTGACAGAGAGAAGAGAGGTTGAAGAAGGGTAAGAGAAAGGAAACTAACAATGGAATTTGAGAGCATAGCCCATGGACACAGACTGATTTAAGAAAACCTTAAATGGATGAGTCACAGAGGCTCAACTAAAAGTTGTAGGGGGCGGGGGTGCAACATGGAGCCAAATTAGAAGAGGAACTGCTAAAGAAGCTCACTTGGCTGTGGATGGAGGTTTCCAAAAAAGTAATCTATTACTTCTAGAGAAAGCATTAAAGAGACTGCTTGAAGTTTGAGCTCTGTGCCAAACTAAGCAAATAAAT